AACATGAAAAACAAAAGGCAAAAAATCACAAGGACCTGATTAAAAATCAGTAAAGTTATAAGGATTTGGTAAGAAAAAAAACTATAAAGATCCGATTAAAAATCGAATGAAATCTTAGGGATTTAGGATTAATTTTTTTTCATTTTTATAAGAAAAGAAGCATGTCCAAATCTAAAGTAATTGGCAAATATTTACCAATTAATTTCATAATAGTGCTAATAATGATGTTGAAAATAAGTTTGTAATAACCCCAATGATTATAATTGAAAGGAATCATGAATAACCACGGGTACGTGGTATGCATATTATAGGTTGTGGAATTTTAATTTAATTTAATTTGAACAAGAATAGGTAGCGGAAGTTTCATCAAGCTCTCCCAAATCAATTTGATAGTGTACGCAATCTGAGTTGGTCCCTACCCCATGTGATGTCTCTTAGGTATTGTTTGGTATGAGGGAAATTTTTCCTCCCTTCCCTCTCTCAGTTTCCCTCATGCCAAATGAAGCCTTATTGTGGCTAATTAAACAGCCTGAGCCAATGTTGAGTTGTGGGTCACATAAACATATAAAGGGGTTCAGAGTCAATTCCAAAAGATATGTGCGCCCCCTCTCATTATTGCTTTTTTGATCCATTCCTTTTCGGGTCATCATCCATATGACCTGATTTATTTTTTACCTTTGTCCTTTCACTCTATGGCAGCAAAGGAGATTTTGTTTAGATTGGGTGCACGTGTACGCTAAGCATCTTGAAGAAGATTGTGCAGTAATATAATATAGGATTAAGTTACAAAATCTACTTATAAAGTATATATTCCATTATAGGCACCTGAAATTATGAACTTTTCTTTAATATAAAAGTATATATGAAGTTTTTAAAATAGTGGGAAAAATTAAGGCCTTTAAGTCAATTAGCATAAATTATTTAACAAACATGTCAATAATAGTGCAAAAATATACATAAATTTTAAAAATAATACCAAAAATATCATAATCACTAAGTCAACTACTCATCTTATCCTATTTATAAGGCACTTCTAACATATTTTACACAGATCAAGAAAAAACTTTAAAATGCATTAACTCTCGATTAAAATATAACAATTTTTCAATTTTACCTATATTTAACATATACACCTTTCAAAAGAAATAATTACCTATACATATAATAAATGAAGGACAAAATAGTACATTCACACTGAAAATTTAATGAAGTGACTTATAAATAGACAAAAAAAAAATTCTTTCTCTACCTTATAAAATAGGATCAGAGGAGTATAATACTAACTGTCTAACAAATACTCCCTCCATCCTTTTTTATAAGCAACAATTATCATTCCCTCTTATCTCTAAATATAAACAATATTTGCAAGTTGCCTTAAATTTTTGTAGCAAATTTCCTATTTTACCTCCATTAATTATTATTTTAATATTTAATATATTATCATTCATTTTTCAAATCATTATCTTTCTCCATTACATGTTCTTTCTCTTTCATAATTCTATTTATTATAATAAATTTTTATTATCTTTCTTATATTCTCTCCCCTTATAAATAAGATATTTTGAAGAAAAAAACTTTTAATTTTTACTTATTTATTGTCTTTATTTAATTTTTTGATTTGTGTAATGAGCCTTATCTTACTTAGGAAAAGAGACGGAGAGAGCAATTGCCATGCCCATTGCACGACGCTTTCACCCCCAGCGGCCCATTCGCTACTGTCAGGTTTTCAGCAAGACTCAATGGTTATACCTCCTCCATGTTGGAGACGCCCCTCCGCTACTTGCTCCTCTGCCGTCATTTTGTTTAGTTTCTTCACTATTAGTGATTTTATCCGGGAGTTAATAAGCTATGAATTAGGGTACCCTTGTTATAAATTAACCATGTGCTAAGAAGAGATGAAGAGGAGGCTGATGAAGACTCATCCATCGTTACAGAAATCACATATCCAAATCCCTTGATAATATCTATTGATGGCGAAGAAGAAATAAAAAAAAAAAAAAGAAACAAAAGAGGCATGTGTTGTAGAAGACCTCGCAATGGCAAAGATGGTTCCTCAAAGTGAAAAAGTTATGCCACACACGTGGCACTTATTTGTTAAATGATCAACATTAATTTAGTTTAAAAATTTTATCTTTATTTTTTAAAACCATTTTCTTGATATATTAGTGTTCAAATTTGTTCCATAAAGTTTACATTTGGGAATACTAGGTATTCAAAATTTTTTTTTTTACAAATTTGTTTTAACAAGTTAAAATCATATCTTACTGTTAAAAATATTAACAGTCAATATCACTATTTTAACAATTATTATAATTTAAATTTTTAGGCAAAAGCTTGTGAGTTGTGACTCATACAATATTAACCCTATAACTTCGTCTTTTCATCCATAAATTTTTTTATTTTCACTAAAAAAAGTGCAGTGAAATTTAAATTTCCATGAGAGTTATTGCAAATTAGTAATTTTCCAGTGCTCCTTCGATTCAAAATATAAACTAAACTTTATTTATTATGTTTATCAAAAAACTAATTAACATCAATTTAAAACAATAAATATGTAAGACATATATTTATTTTTCCTAATATATCTTTATTAATGAAGATAATAAGTAAAAGATGTAATAAATGAATTAAAAGGAAAAAAATATATGGATAAAATGAAAAAAATCTCATTAAATACTTAGATAAAAATAATATTATCTTATAAAAAATAACTTTTTAAAAAATCTAGCTTATATTTTGAAAGGGAAGGAGTATCAACCGACTGAAATTTTCCGTTAGTAAGAACAATGTGGATGGTCTCTCGGGGTCTACGTAAATAAATGTATCCTATTTTGGTCTGAGAATATTTATATGCTTTGTCTATTTTTTGATGCGACGGGCCCGTTATGGTACACTTGGCACTACATAAAATGCCCTTTTTCTAAGCCAAAGAAAAATCACCACTGAAAAGTATGTGGCTAGAAATTTTCTAGGATTTTAACTTTTTTATTTGTGAAAAGGACGGAAAACGAGTGGCCTGAAACGAACCGGGGCGTTGTCTCCCTCGCACACGTGGCTTCATGATTATGGTTGTGGCGGCAGGACGGCGATGACGTGGCGAAAAGCGCAACTAGAAAGTCTCGTTATTTTTTTAGAACCACCGGATTTTTATCTTCTCTCCTCGTCACAAAATGACCGATTTATTTTTTAGAGTATATTTTTTATCAGGATATAAATAATTATCCATTTATTTAAAATATCTTGTTTATGTTTCCACACTTGTTACTCTCTCCCTCTCTGTGGTTGCTCCACCACTCGCTCTATGACATGGACACCTGTCCCCATCGCCTTTTCATTTCTTTTCTTTTCCTTCGATTTTCTACGACACAATTTTCTGCTCGGATTTATGGAATAGTGGCTGGATAATTCTAATTTTTAATTCTATGAGGATAATAATAAGATATAATCTGAATATTTGAAAACATGAAATATTTGAACAGCTTTTAAAATTCGTAACATTTGCAAGGGATTCACTAAAATTAGTCTCATTTTTTTTACAACAAAAATTATTTTTATATAATGAGTGGTTGAACCTTAAACCCTTGCATAAATTCTAGTATTTCACTTTCATAAAAATATTGTTTTATTTTAAAAGTAATTAAATCAATAGATAATAAAATTATACTTTTATTTTCAAGAAAGTGAGATATGATGTTAGTGTTTGTTGTGATTTCTTAAATTAAAATTTCTCAATCAAATACGAATGACAGGCTTGTGACAATGTGAAGAAATTATCTGGCAAAATAAAAAGACAATGTTAAAAAATAATTTAATAACATGTCAAAATCCCATTCTAAATAATTGTGTTAAAAAAAAATAGAAAGGAGATAACTAACTTTGAAAAAGCCCCATTGCACGTTCAAGGTAACTATAATATTTCAAAAGACATTATTATAAGAATAATTTATATATGTTTTGTAACTAAGGACAATTCTCATTGGGATCACCTTGACGATGATATTTTGACCATAATTATATAATGCAATAAAGTATTTATGTGATGTGGAACAATAAAATTGTCTATGGACATTTGCAAATTGAAACAAATTGTTTTATAGACCGCTCATATTTTATTGGTTAAATAATTATTCATATTGAAAAAATAAATTATTTTTATTTTTAATTTAGGGGTTAGAAAAATATTTTTATTTTGTAATTCGTGTTTAAATATTGGGTGAGAGAGAAAAAAAATATAAGAGGATTAAATTCATTGGCATATACTAATATATTTTTATGTTTTATTTTTACTGAACAGTGTAAAGACTATACAATATTCAAATTATAATAAAATAAATATTTAAATTTTAATTAAATGAAACAAAATAAATAATAGAAAAATCCGAAATATTTAAATTCTAATTCAACCATATGATAATGATGCCTCAATTTTATTCTCTTAAATAAGAGAACGAAAGCTAATAAATCTAACACTGATATTAGGGTGTGGATGAAGGTTGGCCAACGAGTGAACTGTGCACGCATAAACGGCACACGTGGCACTTTCTTAAAGCGCGTACCAAAGCTAAGACTGCAGAATTGCGAGTATGAATTGGATCCAAATTATCCACAATGCGCTCGTATTTTATCCCCCCACCAAATTTAAATATAAAAATCTCAGCAGGGGGGAAAAAAAAATGCAAAGAGAAAGAGACGCGACAGCCAAACGCCACGTCCGAGGCGCTCTTTCGATGTGAGCCACAAGATGGCATCAAGTTCTCGAGATTTCGACGGCGAAAGTTTTATTCTCACAAAATACGAGAAATTCAAATCTGACGTGGCATCCCTCCCTTGCCTCTATTTTTTTCCCCGCAATCTTCATTTCCCTTGCCCATAGTCTTCCTCTTCTCTGTCCCTTCAACTCCTCCTCCTCCTCCTCCTCCACTCGCCTTCTGTAATTCGAAGCTTTCATCTCTCTGTCTTTCTTTTTCTCCCTAATTTATTATTTGTGCCCGTTAGAGAGTCTAAACACAAAGGTCTATTATTCTCGAACGAATCACAGAGGATACAAGATTCGAGATCTCTGATTTTCGGGAGGATAGTATTGGGTTCCTTTGCTGATTGTTTTGTCGCGTCCATATCTTTTTCAATTTTTACTCTTGAACCATTCAGGCTGTTTTTTTCGGTGGGTTGGGTGCGTTGATCGGGGTTTAATCCTTTCACTGGGTCATTGCTGCTGCTACGCAGTATCTGAGTCCATAGCGTATTTTTCTTGCTTCTTTTCGTTCTGGAAAGAAGATTTTGATGGATTTTTGGCATTCTTGTGACAAGATGCTCTTGATTTGTGTGGATGAAACCATGGAATGGGTATGGGGGATTCATCTGGCTAATCAGCTTTGACACTTTCGGATAGTTGCGAGGGTTATGCAGTTCTGAGTTGGGAAACAGTTTAAAAATTTGTTCGATGATTTTCGAATAGTGAGACGCGTGCATTTGCGTATGGAATTATTGATTGTATAGGAGAGAAGAAATCTGGTGTTTTAGATTTATTCGTGGTATTTTTATTGGGTACTTGAATAGAAAAGGTTGGTTCCTATCTGGTCTTGTGATTCTGTGGATAAGGAAAGACAATCAAATCTTTCGGCGAAGTTAAAGACTGTTTGGCACTGTTTGACCGGCGGGTGGTTTCTGCAGCCATGGCCATTCATGTATGTATCATATGTGCTCTGCTCTGTTTTCATTTCTTATAGTCTCTTGGTGATTATTGTTTTTGTGCGTTTATGGGTAAGCTCATATTTCCAGCAATATGTTCCCCGATTTTGGGCGGGATATGTTTCGTAATATTTTTTGGAAGGGAACGGTGAACTTAGTCTGATGAATTTACCTTTTCCAGTGACAAGTTATTTATACTTCAGAAATTGGGTAGATTTAATGGGCTTATCTTCTTCTTCTTCAAAAAAAAAAAAACGTTTAGCTTCATCAGGGGAGTTTGCTGACGGTCCCCCCGCCCCCCCTTTAATATCTGCTGTTGAGAGAACTTGGCATATTTGGATTATTTCAAGATTTGTGATTTTTTATGGGTCTTTGTAGCATTTCTTGATGGGAAGTGCATGATTTACTTGAAAGATATTTTATCCCGGATTATTACAAGGAAGTCTATAGAGCGTCTTTTAAATTAGGAATCATTCACTTATCCTCGATAATTGGATTGTGAGTTTTTTCTCTTCAACTTGGATGTAGGATCAAAATGGAGTCACCAGACCTCACGGCAGCATTCCAGTAGGAAATGGAGTATCTTTGAGCTCTGGACTACATCCCGTTGCACGGGCTCATCTAAATGATCAATTTTCTTGTGCGAATGACTATGCTCCAAAGGTTCACCCAGGATTCTTCATGCAGCTTGTACAATATTGGATTGCTCATCTATGTTATATCTGTCTAAAAAAATTTTCATGCCTGCCTCATTAGGTAAGGAAACCGTATACTATCACAAAACAAAGAGAGAGATGGACAGATGAAGAGCACAAGAAGTTTCTTGAAGCTTTAAAATTGTACGGGCGGGCATGGCGAAAGATTGAAGGTATCCTTAGAATTATAATTTTTAAATTTTAAGGCCAGTATGCTATCAACTCTTGCAGGGAAATATAAACATGAATGATCATATGATGTTTGTTGAACTTGGTCTAAGCCTGGAATCTTTTTTTTTTTTTTAACCACAGAACATGTTGGCACAAAGACCACAGTTCAGATTCGAA